TGTTTCTCTTAGTTGCCTCACAACATCATCAGTCAGCGGTAATACTCCTCCACTATCATCCTTACTGAGATATCGTAGGGCCGAATTAATCTGGCCCTCCATGACCAGCTTTGCAAAAATGCGCGCTTTATTTGGTGGATCATTCTTGTTCGACCTTAATAAGCGCCGTTGGATCATTCTCCCTTCGCGTAATAGAGACTCGATCTCGCCATTTCTCCACCGTTTCTCAAGACATTCTTGATGTTTCTTTGCTTTTGACCGCTGACGAGGCTTTTGTAGCGCAGTAGCGAGGAGAACAATAGCGGCTTTTAGCGCAAGGTGTTGCATGGGTGATCTATTGTTCCAGTCGTCGATAAGCTTCGTTAACTGGTCAATAAAGTCACGACCAGTTTTACCATACGGGACCAAGAAGGTGTTTTTTCTCCATTTTGTTACTTCATTATACGCATCATCGATCGTAGCAGTGGTGATTGTTATCATTCCCCCGTCGGAATCTCGGCCCTAGTTGAAAGATCCTGGCAAGTTGACAGTCGCATAAGTAGGTAGACACTCAGGAACATCATCAGACACATCCGGCCAATCGCCCATTGTAACTCTGCTTTCCATTGGGATTTGCAGCGGCTCTGCGCTATGCAAATTCAGGCCTCTTGTTGGAGAATTAGCATTTCCACTTTTTCTATTTTGGTTGTTTTGACTTTCATTTTCAATATTTTCCTGACTAGAATATTCACTTGTAGATGTGATATTCCCCGGATCCTCGACACTTCTCTCTCTGATGGATAGATCTGTTCCATTATTTCTTATTTTCTCCAACCTCGATGCCTGGTCCCGTAGATTTTGGCTCTTAAATTGTAAATTATTGTACCCCATATCATCCCACAACTCCTTCATAACGTCAATATATCCTCTTTTCCTTCCATTCTCGTTGCAAGGAGGATTCTCTGAAGAAATAAGCTCCTGCCCTTTTTTCATGCACTCCAAAATATCCTTATTCATCTGTTCTGTCCATTTTACTTTCAGCTTCCTCGCCTGACTTGACATGGCATTCAGTCCTCGCTTATTTTGCCACGTGCTTTTAAATCAATTCTTGTAGCTTGCTGCTAAGATAGATGCTTTTGAGAACTTTGATTTGTTAAATGAATTACTTTTACTATCGTCAAACCAACAGAACCCAAAAGTTGTGCCAGGCTATTGCGTATTTCTAATAATAGTAAAGAAACTTTAGCTATAATGAACGGTTTGCATCTTAATTATATCAGGAAATTACTAAGTATCGGTCTCAGCTCTACGCAGAATCCACTAAAGCAACTTACAAAACTCATTGCGACACCTACTTGAGGTTCTGCCTCTACGTGGGTTACACCCACTTGCTGCAATACACTGCTTTCTTAGCTCGTAGTTTTGAAGCTGCCTCCGTTCGAAGCTGCCTGAACATTATAGGTATTCTTCACAAGGAGTTTGGCCTGCCTTTTATGGCATGTTTCGGAAATCCCACCTTTTTACACGTGTCGCCGACTTCCTTTGACCCGCGTAAGCAATCAATTAGGGCTGATTTTCAAATCTTTCCCTGAGGTGTTCTCATAACCAGTCGTTGGAGTAAGACCATTCAGTTTCGTGAGCGCGTTGTAGAAATCCCACTTTCCCGCATTCCGCGCTCTCCATCATGTCCAACGGCGGCCATCGTCAACGCACTTCGCTTTACGGCGTCGGGTTTAGCACGAGCTCTCTGGTCGGTTGAACGCCAGCTTGTTCAAGTTTTTCTATATGAATCTTATGTTTCTCTTCTGCACAATCATTATGCGTCGCTCGGCTTTGACCCAAAGCTTTTCGCGGGGCACCCCTTTCGCAGCGGTGGGGCATCATTTGCTTACCAACCCGGTGTTCCCATCGAACTGATTGAGGCTCTCAGCGATTAGCGCTCCGACACCATTCTCATCTATTTAGCCATGCCTTTGACAGTTTGCCTTCATTCCGCAAGCACGCCTTCCTACGACATAACCCACTACACCCCTCACGCTAACTAACACTTCCACTACTCCTTTCTTCGGTTTGGACCGTTGGTTGAGCGAGTAATTTCTATTAATCTTACCGGTAAGTAAGCGTTGTAAATCGACTATATTAATTTCCCTTTACTATTCCTTATAACGTGTTCTAATTCTCAATCGTTTCTCGCGTAGCTTGACAATGCATCACGTAGCGCGTGACGCTTTCATGAATTAATCGTTTGCTTTTTCTCGAAACGTGAGCTTGGGACGCCTGTGGAACAACGAGAAATGCTAAATTCCTAAATTTCAACAGTGCCTACTGTTGTACAGTTATGGTGTCTTGTATTAAAAAAGATATGCTAAGTAAACAGAGTTTGTACAATGATCAATTCACAGGCCAGGTAAATGTATTAAATGTGCATCAAATTTTATTTCTTTACCAAACTTCGCCACTTTCTTCGCTCTCGGTGGATATGTTACCGAATGCATAAAGTTCGGGTCCTGTCCTGTCACGTCAAATTTTTCTGAGTCTTGCTTTTTCTTTTCTTTTGTTTTTCTTTTTGTTTTCCTTTCAGTTTACATTCTTGTTCAAAGGATATGGTAGCTCTGTTCACAATAAAATGCACATGTGAGAACGTTTGACGATGTAGCTTTTAACTTCGAATGTTTGGGGGGAAAAAATTGCGTGACAATTTTGAATTTCGTGATAATCTTCCGTCACAAAATCTACCGTCTGCCCAATATTCGTTTATCGCCGATCGTTTGTCGTGACATGTTAATATATTTTATGTTTAATCAAAGTACTTGAATTTCCAAAATATTTCCGGTTACCTGTGGTTTTTCCGGGAATTGATGAATATGTAAATACACACGAAAAGGTCGTATCAGTTCCGAGAAATGGAAAATTGCTTGAATCACAAGAATCTAAAATTTATTTCTTTAACACAAACAGTATCAAAATATGATAATTCGTATGGGCACTTAGGTTGTTATATCTCAGACCTGCGTTTCCTTAATGAGATACACGGTTAGTGAGTGTATTCGTAACTCAGCCAGCAAATAAAGAAAACAAGTTAAAAGCACGTGGTTGGTAAGTTTTCTCAGAAAAACAATATTTTTTTTTTCCCGAGAACCAACATTCTGTGACGTAATTCTTGGTGATTCTATTTTATCGTGACGGAGTTGAAGTTTGTTGAGTTACGTAAATCTCAGTCCGCCGAAACGTTGTCGTCTCTACTCCGAAGCACCAAGCAAAGATAGTTGTTCACGCAGTGAAGTGCGATCGATGAATTACAGGTAAGTAGAATGATTGTCTACTCAATCAAGTAACGATATTCAAGTCAAGGTCTGAATGCAAATGAGACATTGCGGCTTGTCTGTTGTGAAATTATCGCTGACGATTCGTCCCTTAGATAAACAAACGAAGTGACTAGAAGATACTACAGGAATATGTTTTTGTCTGGAAGAAAATTAGTCATCCAACTTCGTTATTTGAAAGCCGACTCGATAATATTCACCCGTCAAATAAATACCACTTCCTCGTCAAGAGATGTTTACTTTGTGGCAATGGCGTAGAGAAAGCGAAAAGCGAAAAGTGCACCACGGAGCGATTCTCACTGATTATAGAAAGTAAGACAAGATCAGTTCCGGATGAAAAGGTAAAAACACAGCTAGACCAAAGTTATCTTAGAGCACAAAGAAATTACGCCATTTTGCTATTTTATTTCACTAAAATGTTTTCTTTTAAGTAGTCACTTCTCTGGAATTTAAATGTGACTCAAACTAGTTGGGGCTTGCCTTTTCTTGTAGCCACATCAACCCCGTAGGCTTCTTACTCACCTAGAATGTAAATTTTCAAATTTATAATAGAGGTATGCCTTTTTACCACGGGTGAGTTGTTCAGATTCTTGTGTTTGTCTCGATGCCGTGAAACAACATTCAAGTTGTAGGTGCCGTCATAATCCGCTCCCTTGAAGCATAATTTTACGCTAGCGCTAAGCGGCAGACCGTCAACAGCATTCAAACTCGCCGTCAGATTATCGCTTCTGTTCAGTGTAAAAAAAAAAAAAAAAAAAAAAAAATGCTGTCGAGATGACTCTATTATTTAAAAATTCTTGGCTACCTCATTCTGGCAGATTTAACAAAAACTCATGCAGTTTTTCTTCCTTTACCGCAGCGTTCAAAAGAATAGTCCAGATAACTGAGATTGACATTTCGACATGCCTCGTGGTAAAAAACGCAAAAATAAAGGGAGAGAGAGGTGAAGTATTGCTATTCATTTGTTATTAATTTTGTTTGATCAATGAATTGTTGATATTTAAATAAAGACTTGCACAGACAAATTCTCTCTGGTATGTTTTGGCTTCACCGAGATGTTGTTACGCTTGATCAACCTGGTACGTTACTGTTGACCTATATTATTTTTAAGGTATAAATATGCAATCAGGAAAGGTCGAATTAAGGAGCAAACCTTTGAGTGGAATGAGACGTTAGAAATTAGTCCAGTAATTAGACTATATTCACCACAGTCTCTGCCATTGCTTAATTAACACTCTGGGTATAAATCTAACTATTATAATATGCATTACTAGAAGCGCTGACTCACTGCAGCAACCGAGAGATGTGGTACCAGTTCAGGCGGAAATTGTGAGTTTTATTTCACTTGATCAGTCTTCATCTTGCACACGCCTTGCCAAAGCGATTTTCTCTTTTGCTAAATAATGGCAATCAAAAATATGGGTTACTGTATCAGATTCTCTGTCCTTCCACATATCCATGCTCTTGCCTTTATTAATTATCGGCCTTCGATGGATTCCTGTAGTTCTATAAAATGTCTGGAAATCATGATCAAATTCACTCAATGGATAGTTTCAAATACGAGGAGCTGTAACTTAAATGTTGAAACTGAATGAACTTAATTTGTATATCCAAGTAACTTTAAGGTAAAGGTGAAGATATTCAAGCCAGTTTAATTTCTCTTGCTTTGACGTAGAAAGGTCTGCCCAGGTCAGAACACTCTAGCACAGCTTCGGGGAAATCGCTTACCCAGTCCACTAAAAATTAAGGGGGAAAACATTTTTTAATTACTGATTAAAACACACAAAAAGATATTTTGCTTGCTGTCACTGACGTGTATTACCTCCGTCCTACCAAATCGCTAGTTTAGATAGTAAAGTAACCACATGTTTTTGGAATGGTGAAGTCCCAATCATATTTTTCAAAAGCTACAAAACTTGTACTCATTGTTGTGACCTAGGCTCTAGAAATATTTCTAGTCCTTCGTAAATCCCTCTAGAGCCAATAACGTATTTAAAAATGAATAGTAATAATGAGCGGTTAGAGTATGAATCAGACTTTACAAATAGGATCTTATTCGGCCACTTACCTTGATAATGTTCCTCGTCAAAACGTTGCTGGAGTAGCTTTCATATAAAGATCTTCGGTTTTACAGCAACTTTCAAACTATAGCTCCCAATATTTTATTTTTTCACTGCCTTTTCTAAATTTTTCACTTCGCGAGAAGATCCTAAAAGTTTTGAAAGCGAAAAGTTTCATTGATTCCCTACAGGATACAACCACATACTTGGTGAATATGGATCAAAACTGCTTAAAAGATATCCAGCTTAGAGTTATGGCCTTGATGGAAAGAGCACTGTTTTTCCGTTTTAGGGTAATAACTTCCCTCCGCTATTTGTTTTCAGTCACTTATTATTATGATCATGATCGCTATCGTTGTCATCGTTACCATCATTGCCATTATCATTATTATAACTATTATTGATATGTGAAATACTCTCTCCCCTTCAAAACCCTTAAGATGAAGGAGAAAGCAAGTTAAACAATAAAGGTGGTATCTTTCTTCTTCGATCATGTAGGGTAGGCCTGATTTATCTTTTGAAGAAAGCAAGGCAGGT